CCCGTTGATGCCGAGTTGAAGCAGCGGGTCAGAGAGCTAACGGAAAAGCTGCGGTTGGCAGAACAAGGAACGGACAGTGCACTAAAACAGGCTCTAGTTTTGGGATCACAGATCAAGGCGGGGCCTTTTGGAACCGTCAGGAGTTTGAGGACTAACCCTACTGTCCTTCCGGATCAATCTGTTAACCCAAGACTGGCAAGGATTTTAGAAAAGGTAGCTGTCAGGAAAGAGGTTATCGTTGTTCTTGCAAACTCGAATGTGAAGGAAACACTTGAGTTACAGATTGCTAGTATAAAGAATGTAGGTATATCGAACTATCTGGTTGTAGCGTTAGACGACAACACAGAAGATTTCTGCAAATCGAATGACGTTGCATATTACAAGAGAGATCCAGATAGCTATGTGGACTCGATAGCCAAAACTGGAGGTAACCATGAGGTATCTGGATTGAAATTCCGTATTTTGAGGGAGTTCTTGCAACTCGGTTACGGCGTTCTTCTCTCGGACGTTGACGTAGTCTACTTGCAGAACCCTTTCGAGCATCTATACAGGGACTCTGATATAGAATCCATGAGTGATGGCCATAACAATACGACGGCTTATGGCTTCAACCATGTGTTCGATGAACCAGCCATGGGATGGGCTCGTTATGCCCACACTATGAGGATTTGGGTATTCAATTCCGGGTTTTTCTATCTAAGGCCTACGGTTCCAGCTATCGAACTGATTGATCGTGTGGCTGACAAAGTCACTCGCACAGAGGCATGGGACCAAACAGTTTTCAACAAGGAACTGTTCTTCCCTTCGCGTCCTGGGTACGCAGGATTACACGCCTCCAAGAGGGTGATGGATATGTACGAATTCATGAACAGTAAAGTGCTTTTCAAGTTTGTGAGAAAGAATCCCGAGCTGAAGAGGTTGAAGCCGGTGGTTGTTCATCTGAATTACCATCCAGATAAGCTCAGCAGAATGCAAGCTGTTGTGGAGTTCTACGTGAATGGCAAGCAAAATGCGCTTGACAACTTCCCGGATGGTTCTGAATGATAGGAGTGGGTATGCAGGCAAGAGAGATTCATCAACCCTCTTCCTTTTGCCAGATTTTTTATTCACATTTTCCCCTAGAAAAAAAAAGAAACTGATAGGCCAAAATCTTCCAGTTTCCTATCTCCAATCCCTTTGTACAATGAATTTTTGTGTATCTAATAGCTGAGATCTCAGAATTTTTAACCTTTTTACTGTAAATTTGGTTAAAATATCTGTTTGTCTCATAAACTCATCACATCAGGACACAACGTTTCTTTGGGGATGTGGTTTTGACCTATCAAACGCCAATGCAACATTTAGAACATGCAGGATCTCGAGAAAATAATCTACCGTCTGGAAATTCGAATGCAACTCCAGTGAAGAGGCCATTTGTTATGGATAACGAATACCAGATAACTGAATGTCTTAAACCAATAACCACACTAAAATCAAGGTTGCAGACATCCAAACTTGTAGTTCAATCGGTGAAACATGGGCGCAAAGCGTCTATTTTGCCCTAGTTCGAATCTCAAATTTGGGGAGGGAGCGTATAATCCAAATCACATGACTGACTCCCAGTCCCGTAATTAGTTTAGGCCTTGGTTAAGGATACTCTGTTACCAAAAAAAAAGGTCGTAGGCCAATCATGTATTTGGAATATACACCTTTTGTCCAAACTTATGATTCGAATTCGGGACGGGACATACATTTGCACCTTCATTTCACCGTTTATCCAAGTTGGTTCTGCACCATTTTAATTTATTACTGTCTTCTTTTTACCGCTTATAGGAATGGTAGATGATGGTCACAGAGTGTTGGAGATGAGGTTAGGACACACTCAGACAACCTTGGACGAGCTTGGAGGAGGCGAACATTGTTGGACAGCCTCAGATGAACTTGGATAGCCTCGGATGCGTATGTTCGACTATGAGACATATTTGGACATGCATATGTGTCTTGGACGTAAATGGGACGTATGAATTATATATATTTAGAAAGAAAACACATGAATAACATTCTGCACTAAATGAAGCCGGCTTACCTTATTGAGATAAGATTCTTTGTTGTCATGAAGATCAAAATGAATTCCAGACCACATGAAGTCACTTGCCTTATCAAGACTTCATTTATTGGTGAAATAATTGAAGAATAGGCCACATAATATTTATTGCCAAGGAGACGTTGGAGATAAGCCAACAATCGAGGAGTAAATCATGACAAAATCTGCACCAACATATTGTTAACGGACAAGGAGAGCAAGAAGAACAGCGGAATAGTTGTATGAACGTTAACTAGTCAGTGCCCGTAACTTCGGTTTCGAGGACAGCGGAGTTCAATCAAGGGAAGAAGCCATCGTTGTCTTGTGAGATTTTCTGTAGGTCTACACGAGCGATAAAGCATTGACGGAAAAGGGTTGTATAGTTTGCAAAACGAGATATATAGCTGCCAATACATCCCCTAGTTTGTCAAGAAATATCTCGAGTCCTGAAAATGAAGCGGTTCATTTCCCCAAGCGGTCCACCCGGCAGCCATTTCCCGAGCAAATAGCTCGATGCATCGAGCTGGTTGAGGCCCGGGAGCATACTTCTTTAGCAACTCTACGAAAATGGCAACTCAGAAGAGTCAGTAAATGTCGAATTGATTTTTCTTTGAAAGTTCCCAGGGAAACAATGATTAGTGATTGGTTTTTGCGAAAATTGCATTCTTGCTCCGATACCCGATACAACTACTAGAGGAAACAAGCTGTAGAAGCAAAAGAATACCTCCAACCGGGGGTTTCCTTGAAAAATCTCCAGGAATGCTTATGATAATCTGCCGTTCTTTCATCGGTTTCAATTCAGGACTACATTCTGATCCTGGAAACTGTGATGTACCATCCGACATGAAATAAGTAGAAGTTCATCCAAGTCACAAAAAAAAAAAACTGAATAGGGTTATGTATGACAAGCAAATCATAAGGCTTACTTCTCGAAAATAGTAACCTAACAGAAGGTACTCATAAGGTTTATGATGGGTCAGGTCCAAATCGGAAATTAGTGAACCGTCTGGTTTCACCTGCAACATTCACAAACAAGCATGTGAATTAGCTTACAGATCATATATGCAACTACTCATGAAACAATACATTACAGGTGCAAAAACATATAAGCAAAAGACGGTCCAAAACGGACGGTTCACCTTTAGCCAAAACATGGTAGCTGAATATCTAACTCCCCATGCAGGGAACAGCTCTTTCTCGACAAACTTTAGTAATTTCTCTCTATTGGTCACCCACAATGCAACGACTGCTCCTTCGGCATGGGCAAGTTGCTTGATCGGGAGAGACAGGAAGTACCGATTCGGTAGAGTAGGATACCTAAAACAAGAACCAAGAACCTTAACTCATGAACTTTTAGAAATGAAAAAGCTTATACCCAGAGAGAGAAAGAGAGAGGAAAGAAAGTTCGAGACTTTGATTTCTGATGAGCGCTTGCATTTTCCCAGGGAGGATCAATAACGATAAGGTTAAAGCCTTCATCGGGTCTGGCTACACATTCAAAGTGAATAAGATGGAAGACATTAGATTCGATTTCATATCATGAAGAACCATATAAGCTCAAGACCAAATCAAAAGTTACACATATCAACGTCGGAGCAAGGAAAAGCTATCTGTGCGGATATAGAAATTACCGGCAATGAGGTTCCGAATCTGCAGCAGATCAGACTTTACAAGAAGGGGAAACGATTAGAACATTTAGAATGACCATAACACATCATCAATATCATCGAGAGAGTCCACATCTTCGTAATTAAAGATAGGAAGAATCGTCACACCATGTAGAAGCAACTCTTCCTGGGTATTATATACTTCCTGTCTAAAAACTCGGCTTCGATTTCCTCTCCTGTCTCGTTCATAACCAAGTTATTGAATGCGGGGACTACTCTGTGTTCGGTTGAACAACCTGATAAATAACAATGGTTTCACATATTGATTAGCAAGCAGATGAGCAAAGAAGCTAAAATATTTTTCTCAAATTCTTCAAATTTTTAATCTGGGTTTCAGAAACAAACCGTCATCATCATCCAATCGCGGATTCAAATTCAGCATTATCTCGTACAAGGGTGCTTGCCAGACTCTTCCGAGTTCAACCAGAGAGAGTTCATGACCACAACTCTTAATCGATACACTAGAATCACCAGTATCACTTAGACCCTCCATTGCAGATAAAAGCTCGAATTCTTGTACAAATGACTCGTGAGCCTTCAATAACATTGGTCTTGCTTCCTATAATCAAAACCATACACGGAAATCAAATCAAACAAAGCAAATCGCGGAGTACATATGTTGAATGGTGTTGTTACCTGGTGACGAAGATTGGCAGCTTGCTCTCCTGCACTTAGAGGGTTAGGGTTAGGGTTTCTCTGCTTCCGCTTGCGCTTTTTCGAATTTGGATCACTGGGTTGTCGATTGGGATGCCCGGAACCGACGAAACGAGAGTAGTAAGAGGAAGAAGAAACCCCAAATCGGGTATAGGATCGATTGAGAATCCGAACCGGGTCTAAGAAGACCCATTCCGGGTCGTCGGATTCGTAGATACCCGAGTCCAGGAACAGTGCTAGGTTATGATCACTCTTCGTCATTACCGACCGACCCTGCTCAGAGGCCAGAGAGAGACTGAATGGTCATGAGAACTCTCATAAACCCCTAGAATTCACAGAATCTACAGAACCTGTAAAGTTTTCCAATTAACAAAATCTCCTGCACTTGATTTTGGGAAAATCAAATGACCCACTTGGTCACATCTATTTCACCTGTACACCACCAAAAACATAACACATTTTTTTCTCAGTAAAAAGACGAAATTACCCTTAATCCTTAATGAATCACGATATTTATCCGTTCGAAAACAACTTCGTTATTACGACTTCGTAATTAATTCTAAATATAGTTACAAAAAGGTGGTAAAAAAAATTATCCGTCTTATTTTAGTTGTATATCAGTTATATGTTAGTCACAAAAAGGTCGCAAAAAATAAAACGAAAAGGGTATTTTGGACTTTTTCAATCGAAAAGTGGGTTAAAATTGAAAAAAAAAAAAAATTTCTAGGTGGTATATCCTGAAATTGCTGCGACCCAAGTGGGTTATTAGGATTAAAACCCCTTTGATTTTCTTCACCCAATATAAAATATATTGGTGATTTTCGCAAATGTGCCCAGAGAAATTGGGAAATTTTTTCTTTGCAAGGTTATCCCATAACTTTGCATCAGACTTTGTATATATGAATATATATATATATATATATATATATATATATATATATATTAAATATACAAATAAAATTTTTTATTTAATCTTGTGTAAAATGATCATCCAATATTTTTTGGTTAAATGGGTGGATCAGACAGATTTCGGGACGGATTCGATTCGGACATGATTTTTTCGGTTCGGACCGATCCATCCAATTATTTTATTGAGTCTATATTGTTAGGTCTAAACCCAAATTTTTTCGGGTGAACTTTAGATTTTATTGGCATTGGTTTGGGATCAACTTCCTTACGATGAATAGTCACCGGGAGAGAAACACAGGATTGATCAACATTTACCCAAACTAGAGTGGTCTAGTGGTGAGAGAACATGCTTTGCATGTTCTCACCTTGGTTCAAATCCAAGCGTGGAGAGGAGCATTCATCTGGTCCGGTGAACTTCCGGATTATAAAAAAAAAAGGGATTGTGCTGCTCTGCTCCCTTTCACAAATGATTATTGCTCTTCGTACGCCATCGGGACTGTTTAGATGTCTGAGATTGCCGAGAGGGTGGTGGGATCCTTGTTGAGGGAGTCGAGATTCTCGGACAATGATCTTGATTAGTATGGCCAATTTCTAAGCATCTTTCGCAAGTTGGGGAGCCAATTATAGCTGACATCTATCACTCGTTCCTCTCCTTTCGGGAGCTGCACAAACTAGATTCTTAAATAAGGGAGCTAGTAGATTAACTTCGATATGCATTTTTTTTTGTAACGGCAGGAATTCAGCCGCAATCTTTTGGACGTGTAGATAAACATTCAATATACATGTGTTGATTCTCCACATATAACCGAATATCCGTTTAGTTTGTATTTGTGTGTCCAACTCGATCTTAGCAGAATCTGCATTCTCTTATGTAGGCTCATCTTGTGTGATGTACCCATGCTCTTCTTCACCCCCAAAGCTCAACACACTTGGACACACTGATCAAATAATGGTAACAGTATTTCGGTATTTTATTAGATGAGCCAACGTAAATGTGGCTTAAATTGTGAAATATTAATATGGAGGGGCGGAAACGGAAGGAATACCATATGAAGGTCTTTTTTGAAATTAATTGATTCTTAGCTGTCGGAGAACTGGATATTGTTCTTCTCCCACGGGTCACGGCAATATCCCCGAGAATTATCAGGCACCAAAAAGAGAAGAAAAAAAAAAAGAAGCTGTCGACCTCCATTGATTTAGCCATGTTCTGGTTCGATCTCCTCCTTCTTCCTACGTCTCTTTAAATTTCCATCCACCACTCTGCATGGGTTAGCGAAATAAATTCTCTACTCGATACGAAGCTCTTCAAGCGAAATCATGCCGATTTCCGTGGATCTTCCCGTTTTCTCCACTCTCCGAGCACCGTTGTTCTCTGGCATAACCCGTGTGTTTGACGTCCCCTTCTCGGGTCCCAGAGTCTCTGTGGAACCGACATGTACTACCGCTCGAACTTCGGCGCGTGGGATTTCGGTGATGTGCGTGGTGAGGGATTCGGCACCGTTCGAGGCTCGCGAGAGAGATGAACCCACAATTGGAAATGGTTCCGGGTTTGTTGAAGTCGTCGTTATCGGGAGTCGACAGGAGTCTATCATGGATTCTTGCTTGGGTTCTCCGTTTCGTTCTCTTCCTCTGCGATTTTGGTATGTGGTTGATGTTAGTTTCTTCGATGATTCCGTTTTATCAATTTGTAATCGTAAAATCTACTTGTTTTTGTCAAATTATCTGAGATGTCTTGTTTTGTGTAATTGGGTTTGCGATATTGTCGATACCACTTCATACTCATGTTGTCTGAATGGATTATTGCTGCTCGGGTGTTGTATGTGTCTCGATTTGGGATTTGCACGTTTATCTGATACCTTTCTATTATGTAGGAGTATTGAAAAGAACAAAGCTGGGGATTTGTTATTACATCAGAGGCTCATTGAAGGTTAATTATCTTCATTGTTTCTGTTTTTACTTTCTTTCTGATTTTGGTTTATGAAGTAAGTCTTGGTACTGGAATTCATTAGTATGTTAGGCAAATAGGATAATAGGTTATAAGGGCACAAAGTTTTGGGAACGTAGTCAAAATCAAATTCCGATACTTGGCAGGCTTTGGCTGATCTCTTTGCGATTATATTTTAAAACCAAAATGTTAGATTTAGTTGGATATATGTATTTCTTGTTAGATTCTTTGCAGCATATCTTTTGCTAGTTTTGAGGCGAAAATAAAGAATCTGATATGATCATTGTTTGTTTCTTTGTTTTTTCCTTATCTGTTTATGATTGCAGATCATGATTCAAAAACCATGAATCCTGCTCTGCTGCTACAATCACGTCCAAGGGCCATCATCCTTGTTTGTATTTGTCTTACCTATCATTGCTTGTGTATTACTTACTGCTTCTCAGATTTCATCTTCCATTTGTATTCTCACTTGTTTGCAGCAAACAGTGAACGTAGTCTGCTGTAGTTGAGAAGAATGATTGTTAGGCATGTACCCATCTAATACCTTAAAAGGAAACCTGCTTCTAAAACTTATATTTGCTCAAAATGATATTCTGAAGTTTCAAACTTGTACAAATGGTAATGAATGAAACTTACATATGACTCAGAGTCTATAGTAGTCTCTTCATGTCGCTGTACAAATACATATGACTCTGCTTCTATCATTCTCCTATGTAGGTGGCTAGTTCTGGGTATGGTTCTTGTCAGATTGGTGCTATTGATATTCTTAATGAAGTAAGATCTTGGGGTGGATTAGCTGTTGCTATTCTGTTAAAACCTTTCAGCTTTGAAGGACGGAGGCGTCTAGCTGAGGTAGTATATAGTCAATTTTAAATATTTTGTTGTTGATATTACTTTTCTGGTATGGAGCAGAAGACGTGACTAGACAATCAAATCTTATTCTTTTCCTATCTACTTCGTCAGCGTTAGGGCTAAATTTTGTGCTTTGAGGTTGTAGTTGGTGATGAATGTGTAGTTATTGTCGGAAAACAGAGTTTCCTAAAATGTGCCTTGCCAATAAGAGAACACGCTTTTAAGTGATAAAGGAGAAGAATCACTCTTGTAAAAAATTATTAAGTAGCCAAATATTTGTTGTTGACCTTCTAGCTTGCAAGTTATAGATTGGACTCTTGTTCCATTATTTCTTTGCCTCCATTGTAATCGTGGTTGTACCAAGGATCAAATTTCTGCTTGTTAAGCTCAACATTGTTCATGCTTACCCTTTTAATCTCTCTCTAGCTGTTGTATTGTTTTTTATTTCTTTTTCATTGCTCTCACATCATGTGCAGGTTAACGACTTGGCTGGAAAATTGCAACAACATACAAGTTTTCGAATAGGTACTTCTTTTAGGATGATGATAGCTTTGTCGAGAGAGTAGTATTTATCTGGAGTTACCCTCTTTCCTAGTCGATCCATGGCAATGAAGTGACTTTGTTAGCTGTGATTTATAGATATCGACATAGAAATGTTGCTACAGAAGGATTTGGTAACTTTGGATGAAGCTCTAAAAAATGCAAACAATGCTATTTCAATGGCAGTTAATGCCACTTGTGCTCTCCTAATTGTAAGCACACTGTTAACTCATCTTTCTCTTGAAATATTGTACTTCTTGTTATACTTTCTTATATGGGTTTATTACAGGGGATGCATGGACAATTCATCGATGTGATGCATAAAGATCTTAAAGAACTTAAGGCTTCAGAAGTTACAAGAGTAAGTCTCTTGGATGTTCTGTTTAACTTCTTAAAATGAAAATCTTTGTATTTTAGTTCTTGTTGAGATTTTTCCTTTTCTTTATTTCTATGTAACATTGTTCGAGGTCAGCTGTTTTTTTTTTCAAATGTAGTTTAGTTGCATTCTCCATTGTTTCATATCTTTATGAACATCTTAAACTTTTTTCCAAGAAAAAAAGGCAATATCTCAAACTCAAAACTCAATGCAGGAATTCTTCTCTTTTCCAAGTTATATCATTTTACATGTGATAGTTTAGAGATTTTTTTATAAAATAAACTCTCAATTTCTCTCCATGCACAATCCTTCAAATTTCGTATCTCCAGATTCTTTCAAGCTACAAAGAAGCAAAGGTTGGGTTTGGAGTTGGTCACAACCTTAAGACCTCAATATTACGAGCTATATATGACTGCCCTTTCTTTCGCCCTGGTATAAAGGTAATTCCAGTCATTCAAGAGTTTTTGAGAAGACACATATATGCTACACAGGGCCTGTTGTTTTGCTATGATTTTCTTGAATAATTAAGGAAATCCTTTTCTCCACTGTACGTTATTATTTTCTATGAAGAATGAAAATATTATTCTGATAATATTGTCGTTTCTAGAGTAGTTTCATTGTGGCAATGCACATAGATTTTCAAATGCAATTGCTCCTTGAATAGTTTTGCACTACTGAAAGTTGGCTCTCCAAATAACTTTTCTCTTATCCTTGCACTTTTTTTTTTGTTTTCTTCTATATAGGGTGTAAATGCCATCATATGTGTCGTGGCTACTTCGGCTCATCTTCGGAAGAATGAACTGCAGACAATTCTTCTAACTTTTCGTCAAACAATTGAGTACATGGGAGATATTGTAATATCTACAGTTCATGAACCTGATCTAGAGCGTAAAGTGCTGGTGACAACATTTTTTATTCCAAGGTATGTATTTATGTTTAGAGAATGGCGCAACCACTATTGACACACATGATTTTTCCATCTCGATAGGTTTGCACTAATGATATGCTTTAAGTCCATATACAAAAAGAAGTGTCATGGTGTATGATGTTTGCGAACGATATGGTACTAATAGAGAGGAAAAGGGATATTTGTAGATTTAGACTCACTTGGGAACAAGTGATTAGTAACGATTTGAAGTGTTTATAAATTTCGGAGGACTTAACCCAAAACCGAAATGAATGGAAATAAAGAATTCATGCAGTCGATCCTAAATAAATTTGGGATTAAGGCGTTGTTTTTGTTATTGTTGTCTTTGAATTACTGACTGATGTCACTCTCATCATTATGACAGTTACCCCGATGAGGTCTTTGAGACGGGCAACATTATTTCCAGACTATTTCCTTTTGTTTTAAGCATTTTCAAGAGAGATCAAAATGAACAGAAACTAGCAAAGGAAAGATCATTAGAGGGTAACAAAGTAAAAAGTGTCAAAGGTACTGTGGAAGATTTTGACGGTTGCTCCGAGGGACTCCAGGAATTATCTACAAATGGTGACAATGACCCATATACGTTGAGGTTTGAGTTCTGTTCTTCTAACTGCTTTTAGAGGTTTGTGTTTCATAAATTTTCCTGATGAATATCTTGTTATTCTCTCTTCTGATCATGATAGTGAGCCTTCAACGAATGAGTTTGAACCATCCAGAAATACTCCATCTGATTTACGCGATGAAGACAACATAGAAGGTACAGAATCTACATAGCTTTTCCTGACTGCTTGTTATCTGGTTGTAATTAAATTGTAATGCGTTGTTAATAGTTATTTATAAGACTATATATAATTGATCTCCTAAACAGAAAATATACTGGAAGTTACAGGCAGATTATCCTTTGTAGATTATGGTGCTTTCCGGAGGGCGATTGCCAGTTGGGGTGTGGATCAAGAAAATTGGGTTGAACAAAAAATTCCCCAAAAGTGGGCAGAAGATCCCGTAGATACTGCAGTACTTGGTAGCCTGAGTATTGTTAGCCTTCCTGTTGGGGTGAGATCTTCAAATAATACGAAGATTAAAACCAGTAACACCAATTCACTTCAAGAGATACCCGCGAAGGATGATTTGAGAGCCGAATTGCCGTTTAATCCTAGTATCTTGATGAGAGACTTTAATGATACTGCATCGAACCTTTTAAATGAGAAATATGCTGATATTGCAAAGCAAAGAAATCTTTCTGCTCGGGCAGCATCTATGCTGGTAAGCAGCATGCTATGAGGTGTCTATATAATCTTGTCACTTATTACCACTTCTGTTTGGGGATTAAGGCGTGTTATGTGCCCTTTTTCTGCTTCCTCATGCGATAAATTTGAATTCACAAATTACGTTTTATGTCTTCCTTGTATCTTTGGAAATGCTTTTATCCATTCATTGTTTATTCCTGAAAAGACAGTAATGATACTTGCCTATACTATATTGTAAGAAAAAAGTGAAAGGTTTCCGTTTCTGTTATCATAATCAGAAACTATCTGTAGCCTGAGCTGTTTTATTATATTTTCGTGACCTGTGGAACGTTGTGTAATGCATGTAAATGCGGACTGTCTTGATTTTCCATTCCAATTGTCTATCTGTTAGGAAGCTGAAAGAGATTCACCAAAGAGATGGAGCCCAATACTAGAAATGCAGTACAGAGAAGGACTTTATAGGGGAAGATGCCAAGGAGGTCTTCCCGAAGGAAAGGTATTCTACCTTGTTAATTGGTCATTGTCTTTTGTTTGAAACAGGATTCATAGTTAATTTCAAGGTGATGATCTTGATGGCTGAATTCTCTAACAGGGTCGTTTGGTCCTTGGGGATGGAAGCATATATGACGGAATGTGGCATAATGGTAAAAGGTCTGGTCTCGGTACATTCTACTTCAAGAATGGGGATGTGTTCCAAGGGACGTGGAGAGAGGATTTGATACATGGCAAGGTTGAATTCTTATACCTTTTGATTTATGGTAAATTGTTGCGTCTCTGCTTCTAAGTACAAGCTGGTACTTAATAGAAAGGTCATCCTGGTTTTTAATCTATTGAATAGCAATAAAAGGCTCAACTATTCAGGAAAATGTGTTCTGGATTTTCAACAGATATTTCTCATGTTTTTAAACATGTGGTCCAAACAGAGAGTTGGGTGTGTTACTTATGCTGAAGATCTCTTACCAGAAAGATTTCTTCTTTCTTTCTTTCAGGGTTGGTTTTATTTTCACAATGGTGATCGATGGTTTGCAAATTTCTGGAAAGGAAAGGCTAATGGAGAAGGCCGCTTCTATTCAAAATCTGGCGATATATTCTTTGGGCATTTCAAAGACGGATGGCGACATGGGCATTTCCTCTGTATAGATGTGGACGGAACAAGGTCAGTTTTTGTTCAACCTTAAATTCTTCTAATTCTAAATCTAAACATAGTGGAGATCATGGAAGTTTGCTTAATGACTTTAGGGTACAAATGAAATCTACATGTAATTTTACCCGAACAATAACCAACTCTAGTCACTAATGAGGTGGAAGTGTTGGCTACTGAATTGAGACAAGAACTCGCCAACACACTTAACCGGCCCCAACTCTCTAGAAGACTAGAATCATTGTTTGTTTGTCTTTATTTTCCAATTTTTGTGGTAACCATCTATTTTTACCGTTTGATAATATTTCCAATCCAAGGATTAGACAATTCTTGGCGGCTTGTTTAAGTTTGCCAATGGTTGAGTCTGATGGATTTTTGGAAAAAAGTGTCGGGTTCATAGATGTGGGTCTAATTCAGAAATCATTCTTTTACTCGGCATCATATCATCAAACTCTGCAAAATCTTGCTCATATCACCCTTGTAGGCTTTCTCCAGATAAATGAAGCTTCTCTTTGTTTAATCTTTCAACAGATACTCTGAAACATGGGATGACGGTGTTCTTCTTGCCCGGGAACAAGCTGATGCTGGAGATTGATAAGACCATCAAACTATTTGTCCGAATTTGTTGAAAGATCATTCTGGTTTGTACAGTGCAGTGACCTACAACTACATAAATTCGCTGATTTCGTTATTTTGTTACTTCAACTTTTACTTCATAGTGATTTCTTTTTTGTGCCCTTCCCCTTGACAGTGTTTTGTGTTAAGACTGAAGAAAAACTTTTATCTTTCCATATAAGCTTTGTTCTAACAATATCTACAGGTTAAGTTGTCGGCGTTGTGACTGAGTTCGAGTTTTGAAAGCAGTCTCTTGCAGAATATTTCTTCGAAGTAAGGTTTGTCTACAATTTAACCTTGCGGACATTTCACCCTTGTGGACATTTCGGGTACTCGAAAACTCAGGTTCGAGTTCAAATTTTAAATTATGTTATCCGTCGGGTTCAGGCTTGGGTTCAGATACCCTAAAAATCCCGGATAATTGATCCGTGCTCATCTCTATTTGTGGTGCAGCTCTTTCCCGGATCCTAGGGGACGTTTTGTGCACTGTTTTCTTATGTGATGTTGGCCAATACCCAATAGTATGGTCATAAGTTATTCTTCTTTGAATCTTCAATGACCTATAATGGTTAATCACTTTTCGTTACATATCTTTCATTCGAAGAACCTGAGGCATGTTGGATGAAAAAAATAAATATTCTACGCTCCTTTATTTAAATATGTTCGGGAACCTCCAAATGAAAAGGAAGTATATAATTCAATTAGTTTGGATTTTTTTTTATATATAAAACATTTAGTGGTGTAATGGAGGACGTTATAGATACTTTAGAAATGTCGATCCATTTTTTTAGAATTTGATATAATTTGGGGGTTTTTTTGTTTAAAATCTTCGTTGCAAAATAAAATAATTAACCAACGCCTAAGGTCAGCATACTCGGAAAGAGGAAAGTCTTGAAGTCGATTATTAACCTGGATTGTTCCTCCGGTGTCTCCCGTCGATCGATTGATCGATCGATCCTTTCGTCGGTGGATTGGTCTCTCTCATCGTTATAATTCTGCAATCTTCTCCGATTTCCTCCGATTTCATCCCTGTAGTCTCCCAATTTAAGAGTTAATTTTTACATTTTTTAATCGATTTAAATCTCAGTTTTTGTGTTCATGATATTTTTTTGCCGATTTTTGGTGCTGTCTGGAGATGATTTGTTGGAGTAGAACCGTAATCGGATGAGTATATGTTCGGTGATTGTGGTTTAAGGCCAGATCTGAAGGTTTATAAATTTTATTCGTTTGTCTGGAATCCCTTCCATCAGGGGAATTTCCGATCTCTATCCAATATCTATTGCCGCGAGATTGCAAATCGGCGACATTTTGGATATATGGCAATGGAATTGAAGTGATTTCACTGTAAATATTCAGGCTGTAGGGTTTTTTAATCAATCCATGAGTATTACTAGTTTTCTGCAGTTGGTTTGTATTGCTGTTCGTGGAGTTGATTCGTTTCATTGATTATATACATGTAGGACAAGGTCAAGTTTTCAGCCAATCATGTCGCAGAGCCCTTCTTGCTCTGGTAACAACACGAACAACAACGATTCGGGCAACTTCGAATGCAATATCTGTTTCGATTTGGCGCAAGACCCGATTGTAACTCTATGCGGTCATTTGTTTTGTTGGCCTTGTCTATACAAGTGGCTTCATCTACATTCGCGTTCAGGTGAATGCCCGGTTTGTAAAGCCCTGATCGAGGAAGAAAAGTTGGTTCCTTTGTACGGCCGGGGCAAGTCATCCACCGACCCTAGATCAAAATCCGTCCCTGGAATTGAAGTACCGAATCGCCCGTCCGGGCAGAGGCCTGAAACGGCCCACCCTCCAGAGCCAAGTAACAACTTTGCTCATCATCGGTTCGGGTTCATGGGAGGGTTTGCTCCTGTGGCGAGTGCACGGTTTGGGAACTTCACGTTTTCTGCAGGGTTTGGCGGTCTGATTCCGTCCCTATTTAATCTCAATTTTAACGGGTTTCCTGATCATGCTATGTATGGTGTCGCCAATAGCTTTCCTCATGGATTCTCAAACCCGTTCCATGGAGGACATCCTCACGTGCACAGTCCTCGCCGGCACGTAGGTCATGGACAACAAGACTTTCACCTCAAGGCACTCCTTGTCTTTGTTGCTTTCATTGTGCTTATTTCCCTTTTCATGAGCTAGCAAAAAGCTGCAATGATCAAATCTCTGATTCCTGATGGATGTGGCCTCCTCAATAAATGTGCTTTTAACCTGATAATGGTTCGTCTTGTTTGTAAAGAAATTATTCGTATCATACTGTATTGTTATTCATACTAAAGCTTCATCAGCAAATAGATCTGCTTCAGGCTCTGCTTCGTATGTGTTGTTTTATCTATTGTAAGTGCCGATTTCTCCGCTGCTGTCGTCGACGTCGCTGCAGTTTTCTATGTCTGAATCTAGTTAGACTTGCTCGATCTTGGTTCGGCTCAACCGTGGCTCGATGGGGGCTGTATTTGGTGAGAGTAGCGGTGGTTGTAGACTGAATAGTTCGGTTAAGTTCGTATGAGTTTAGGTTGATACCGCTTTAGGTCGTCAAGTCCAACGGGTTGGCTTGTGCATATATAGGGAAAGTATATAAAGTAAGAATCATGTGATTGTTTTTGATTGATCTTGAATTATTTTGTCCCAATATTCCTTCTTCAAAGATGCCATCAACCGGCGAGTTGACTCGGAGATTGATCAGACATAATTGTTCCCCAAATCTGATCCTTTTGGTACCCGCGTCTATAGAACATTTCAAGTGATTGACTTCATCTTCTTTAACATCAACAGCTCTATTATTGTTTTAGAGTTAACATGGCATAATAATATTGCTAATGACACTAAAAAAAACTAAAAAATTTTAAATTCCGCAAATAAATACATTGTAAACATTATATAAACTTTTAATTTTTTTGTCAAAAATCCACAGAAATCCTAGAGCCCTTGTACCCATATACATGCATATTGAAATATAATATATACATACACAAGATATATACGCATTACGCTTATATATGCATGTACAAATATATATATACACATACATAAAGGGGAATGACCCATTTTATAATTAGTGGGATCACATACCCTTAGTCATGTAAAAACAAATCTTGTATAATTTACTTTGATTGAATGGGGACATGTGCCCCCATACACTTACATGTAGATCCGTCACTCTGTATATATACACACTACTATACGCCATATCCCTGGTTAAATTTTTTTGTAGGTATGCAACTACATACATATATATGTACATTATGTATATATATGAATGTATATATATATATATGTATATATGTATATTGATATATGTATATATATATGTGTGTATATATATATACGTATATATATGTATGTATGTGTATATATATGTATGTATAAATATTGTAATTTTTTATTTTTAAAATGTATATATAATTATTTTAAAAAAAATTTGTTTTTATATTTAATTTTATTTTAATATATTTATAATTATTTTAAAAAAAAATTATTTTAAAAATTATTTCTAACTGTCACATCACATGACATATTTATCACACTTGATGATGCCCATCAAATTTCCAACATATGATTTGTACAAAATTTGAAAATTTGTATAATTTCTTACAAAAATGAAATTGAAAATTAATATATGCGAAATCATAAAGTTTAGATTTTTTGCGATATTCTCTAATAATTTATCTAAGTAAATTATCCCATGTTTTTTTAACATATGATTTTCATGAACCATTTAAAAAAGAATCATCAAATGACATTATTATTCATCGCATAAGAACAATGTCGTAAATTTCATCAAACCCACAAGCAAAGGTGAAGAAAAACAATCACCATAAATCAAGACAAAGATCCTAAACCTATCAAGCACGAGCCTGTCTATGGTTCTGTGAACCAACCGAGAGACGTCTTCAAATGGGGAATCTTCCGGTCATCTGAATATGCTCAAGTGTTCTCCTGAGGCCGTACTTCTGTACGGAGAGCCTCCCGGCTCGGAACCCATCGCCATAAACTGGAGATGCATCAGACTCGAGCTGGTGCTTGAAGAATTCCCCAAGCTTCCTCTCGAAGTGAGACCTCGGACCCTTCTTAGATCTTCTTGAAGAAGAAGAAGAAGAGGATGAAGCGCTGTTGCTGCTTCCTGAACCAGCAGCAAGCTCGGACTCTAACCACTTGTGTGCCAAAACCTGGCATATGCCTTCTTCAACGTCTTGGCTCAGCATTCGAAACCCTTTGGAAAAACAATTCACGTCGAAACAAAAGCGTTGCGGTGTTTTCAGCATTGTATGACAGTTTGCCCGAACGATCTTTATAACCGTATATATACCAACATGACAGCCTAATTTACAAACTATTGCGTCCAGTTGAAACTCTAAACCGATAAGAATATATGGGTGGAAACAGAAGGACAAGAGAAGATGAGCAAGAAACTCACCTTTTAGCCGCATCCATGCATGCATCATTTCGTGAGCTAGGATGGAGCCAGTGAGCAACCTATGACAACAATAGATAAATTCAACAAAACATCAACATTCGGCTAGTCATAAAGATCGTTCCGAGGATCAAATGAATATATGCATGAATCGTTTGAGAACGAGGTTTGCAACAGCCGCACCTAGGAAGCCCGAACAAGATGAGAATGGCTGTAACCTCACACTGCCTTGTTAATTTATACGGCTCTGTAACCATATCCCCAGCCCAGTTACCTCTCCCATTCCTCGGCCGTTTTAATACCTGATGGTTTCAGATTTGTACCATGTTAATCTGTTCTATGGACAATTTCCAAAACTTTGCAGAATTAACTCTGACCATATGGATTTCTTACAGTGCTAACAGTTTGCTCTTC